TGCAGAATGGTTCTGATTAGCAGGTAAGGTGTACAATGCATTTCAGTGGATAGACATAACTAGCATAGTTACGCATCCTCAGGACTGAAATCTGACACAGTGACATTCCAGAAATGGGATGCTGTATTTCTATGGACAGGATTCAAGCAATTGCATAGATAGCTTCCAAGCACTCCACCTCTGCATCATAATAGGCTTGAAATGCTGTCTCACTCCTATGCAACTTTATAACCATTGCTATCCATTGACTCTTCATATTGAGATGGAAAGGAAATGTTCTCCTAGGGCTCAGAATCTTTGGCAAGTTTAAACATCATTTTCATCTGCTTCTTAATTCAAAATCAAGGCTATACCTTATCAGAAGGTACTTGGAACTGAAAGCCCACAGTCTTGTGCAGTGTCATATAACACACACTATTAGAGGTCAGTCTCCTTCCTGCTGTTAAGGAAAGCAGTCATTCACCTTTCCTTTCCTTATCTGAAAATTAATTGTTAGAACTGCAGAAGGTTCTATTCAGATCTGAATTGAAACTGAAAGCTATGATTGATTTGTGGCAATGGATTAGGTGGCTTCAAAGTACTTTTCAAATATTGCTTCCATATATGTGCAAAGTTGAGTAGGGGGCTGGGGCAGTGGCAGATGTCAAACGGAGTGATGGATTTCTCTATAATTGACACTAGTAGCCAACCTGTGAGTTTTATCACCTTCACAAACCTGATCACAGCATTTAGCAAAGAGATGCCTTTCTGTTTGTATTCTGTTCTTCTGCTAAATTTTGTTTGCTAAGGGGGACCTCTAGATTTGTTGCTCTTTGTTAATCTGCTTTGCTCTTCCTTAGGTGATTTTCTACCTTTCTTCAAATCCTTAGTTTTTTTATCCTTACCCTTCCTTAACTTTCAATCCACTTTCTGACCTGTCATATAGTTCATGTTTACGTCCAGTGTGTTGTGGCTAAAACCTGGCTCACCTAAATGCAATCTAATCACTTTGAAGATACAACATAATTGGATTAGGCATGCAAACAATACAGTGTACACAGAGCTCCCAGCAAAGCATTGGCAGTTTCTTGGGTAGCCCTTAGAAAAGGCAGAACCACAGCTTGTATAACCTTGGCCTACTACACTGCAAAGGGGGACAAAGTGAAAGGCAGGCCCAATGGAAATTACAGCATGACGTTGGAATGATTTTGATAAACCCATCTGAGTGATCTTATTATTATTTATCCCTTCCTACTAGGTCAGCACGCTAGCTATACTATCTCTGAGGTATGGTCAGTGAATATAAACAATTTGGTTCACTGGGCCACAGGTTCCTGATTGACTCTTTTTCCTGTTGTCACTCAGGGTCAGTTCAGCTTGCTGTGAATGTTTTCTGACAAGGGCACTTTAAGCAATTCACATGTATTTTTTTGGGGGGGGGGCAGGATCTCATAGGCTTGGAAATGAATGCAGCTCACATGTGTATGGGGGGAGGTACCTTTTACTACCACAAGTGTACTAGCAGTTTTCCTGCTCTTTTATTTTGCCTTTTCATTTCCATTCTTTCCATGAATAAATATTACACAAACAATCTTATTTTCTACCATTTGTCCAATTCTGTCTTGTACTGAATCATTTTCATTGCTTGACTAGGCCTGCTGTTGACTATTTATTTCAAAGAGATGGGAGCATCAGGGCATCTGACAGGATATTATATATGCAGTAGTTATAATACATACACATTTCTTTAAAAAAAAAAATTAAAGCAGCACATATTATGTCATATCCACAAAGGGCTAACCTTGCCAATGAGCCATGTCAGCAATTTCTATGTAGGAGGAGACAGTCTGCCTTGGTTCAGCACAACTTTCATATAGGTTATTTACTGGACAGTTGGGAGGTTGCTGCTTTATTCGTTATTTATCCTTGCCTAAAGAGAGGTGTAGAAGAATATTTCCAACATTTATTGCAGGGGAACATTTGAAGGTATCTGATTGGAATCTGACAGGGTTAATATCCTCTAAAGGGTCAACCATCCTTTCTTAAATCCCATATTGCCAAAAAATGATGCAGTTGCAGCTATTTAGATCGTTTTCTTTCTTTTCTTTTTCTTTTAATCTGCAAATGGGGTTTGAATTGAATTTTGTTGCCTTTGAACCTTGAATCAGAATTCTGAATTAAGTTATTCACCGTACAATCTCAGCCCTCAAATTCAAGTCAGGTTTTGCTTGCTTCCCAAATTCCTATGACTTTTCCCGTTATGAGCAAACCACTGTTCTGCTTGTTTTATTAAGTTTTTAACAGAGACTCTGAAGCTCAGTACAATCCCGGGAAGACTCCATAAGAGCACCGTCATTTCAAGAGTGGTATTCTTGGCAGACATGCTTTCAGAGCTAAAGTGTGGTGGAGAAGGCAGGATAATGCACAGCAATTATACAGCCTTTGATGGATGGTGTCATTGGCAGCAAATGGTGCATGCGCTTTTCTATCTGTGCAGCATCAGAGAAGGTACAAGGTACAGCTTGTGAAATCTAGTCTTTGCCGCCTTCTCAGATGCCCTGATGCTTCCCTTACTTTGAAATAAGTAGTCAGAATAATAAGGAATAAATTGCCTATTTTTCTCAGATCCAGCTTCACTCCCTTCAACCCTCAGCTTTCATCCCTCAAAGATTTACAGTGCAGCTTCTCTTGTCACATATCTGCTCATCCCTAATTCTGCATTATCTATGCAAAGTAACAAAGTGTGCATCCCTTCAACAGAGCAATTCACATTACCTGAGTCTGCTTTGGATTCTCAACCTCCTCTTCCAGTGCTGAATGAACTGTTACCAAGCTGGGTGATGTTGGTTTTCCACCTTTAGCACTGTGCTGAGGGAGAAGGCTAAGAGGGGATACAAAGCACAGCAAGCCAAAACTGTATGGTTGATTCACTTTACTCTCAGAAGTGGGGCTATTTTTCTTCCTGAACCAGCTTCAAGGGGGCATTTGGTTTGAAGCTTTCTCAGGGTGAAGCACGCTTTGCAGCTTTGCACAGCCAAATAGATGAACAAGTTAAAAAGCCTCTGTGCCAATATGGGACCTTGGGTTCCTAAACAAGAAGGATCCTATTCTTTAGACTTTTTTTTTAAAATGAGAACCACTCTTTTCTTTTTTTCTGACCTCTAACCAGTTACCAGTTATTAAGAGGATCATGCCATTTATCTGGTGACTGCTAGATTTACTCTGGAAAGTTTCACGAGTCTTTACGAAGAACCATTTCTAAATTAAGTCACTTTTATCTGCTTGTTCTTAATGACACGCTTGACATCTGAAAAAACATAGGAAAGGTACTGAGACTTCTCTTTGCAGAAGCAATGCTAACTCCTTCAGTAAAACAGGCACCTTACGATATGGAATCTAATAATGCTTCATACTAATTTGCTCAGATAAATCATTAAGCTAAACAATTTATTATCTTAAATCCCATCTGGATCTTCCTTTTAAAAAATAATTGCATTGCCCATTGAACTGAAAATTATAAAGCAGCCAATCTTTGAGATATGCTATATATTTCTGCTAGAATTCCATTTGTCAATTTTGCTATGGTAGGTTCTTCATTGCTACACTTTCTCTTCTGGTTGTCCTATCATTAATAACACTTTGCAGTGACAAGAGTAGTGGTGAGTGCTGCAGAATTTTTACAGAGATCTTAAGAGCAACATGATACAAAATAGAATTATCCCAGAAGATTCAGTAGGCATGACATTTAAATCTAGAACTTTTGCCATTTTAAAAAATGCACCATTATTAAACTCAAACAACACTGTCACTTTTCGGAATATCTTACATATTAACAGTCTAAGGCCATTCATGAAAAGTACTGGTTAAAAGATCTATCACAACATCCAGGGTAGATTTTATATAAATAAAACAGTGCTGCAGAACTGAGTTTTCTGTTGGGTTCATCCTATTGTTCTGCTACAAATTAATTCTCGCAAACCGTATATGTAGAGGCAGTAATAAAGAGAAACCACATTATTTGCCAACATTGCCTTTATGTAGCAAAGCCCAACAAAGCTGCTTCTCATGGTAAGGAATATCCCTCAAATGGGACATCAGGATAGTTCATTTGCACATGGAATCACATCAATTAAGCATCATAGAGGGGAAAAAAGGACTAAATCTGAAATGTAGTTTACAAGTATCAGAAATCTGAATGTGCAAAATAGTCTGAGCTTCTTGCAAGATGTTTATTAAAGAGGTTAGTCAATAACTCCAGGCTGTATGAAAACAATGTATGAAGAGCTATGCAGTAACTCATAGAGAAAGGGGGGGGGGGAGAAGTACAAAAAAAAGTTGTATTTGTTCACCAATATTGCCCAGTGAGATACTTAAAATTCTACTTTTGTAATAAAATAAGCATGTAAAGAACATAATGTTAGCCATTTCATTTTGTCATTCCCTAACACTAAAGATAAATCATTATTTTTTAATGGTGTACGTGTTTTCCATGTCAATTAAATAATTGTTTTTGTCTTATGGCTGGATTCTAATACTCAATGTTTCTTGATGGCTATGACACAATAGTTATTAAACTGCTTAAGTATAAGATGTCACTGGATCCTACTATACCATGATTTAAGCATAATGTTTGCTCAATGGGAATAAATCTTTATTCAAATAAATACCTCAGCAATTCTGTACTGGACATTACAGTAAAGATAGATTTCTAAAAGGAAAAGTGTTCAAAGAACATTCTGAGAAAATTTAACCTGTGTTTTATACTAGACTGCAATACTGATATTTGTCAAAACTATTTTTTGAAACATGCTGCTTTTGGTGAACTATGGGAATTCTGTTCTCAATTTTAGCATAAAAAAGCATCTTCTCACATGTATGCAAGATGACAGAACTATTTACAAAGTATATATAAAATATTTAAACATAATAACTTTGAGCCTGAAAAGCCATTTGGATTGTAAACAAAAGTAATCTGAGGACTGTAAAAATGCTGAAAAGTTATATATGGGATCCATTTTGTGTTTGCTTTCAGATTAAATTTTATTGTGACGAATGTTAAATTTTGCTAATTTGGTAAAAATGGGAAATGTGTATCTGTTGTTTAGATTTGTTGTATGTTTCCATGGGAAAACAAATTAATGATTTCACTTTCTTTTATCAATAAAAATTTCTGAACTACAAAAGTTTTCAAAAGCAATATTTTGCAGGTTATAGGACTGAAAAGAGTATTACATTTTAAACAGTGTAATTCATGAGCCTGTTTTAAAGCTGAAGTTATTACAGGTCAATGTAAAAATGTATTCAAGAATCCTATAAAAAAAACACAGAAAGACCACTTTGTAATTGTTGCTCCAGATAATAATTCAAACATTAATCTTGGAAGATAGCGGCCCAACAGTTGATTTCTGGTCCCAAGTTTAAGCATCCCAAGTAAAAGCTTTCAGTTCGGCCCCTTTAAGTCCAATAATTAAGACAGTCAGCTCAAAACACAGAAATGAGGGCGAAGACTCCATATAATAAAGCACAGGGATATGCTACTAGAAGTTGTTGTCCTTCCATTGCTAAGGCTGAAATGAAGAGTTTGGAGGCTGAAAAACTACACCATCCAATAATTCCAGCAGCAAGAATAATTCCCATCATGCCCCTGAAAACAACAATAACAGGAAAGGAGTCAAGCACTGATAACGACACATAAATATCAGTACAGATCTATGTATTATATTAAGCTATTAGCCTGTAACATTGGGCTGAAGACAGGGACGAGAGAGAACCAGCAACAATAAGCTGTTGCTGGGTCTCTCCTGTTCCTCTCTATCACTGATTTGCTTAAGATTCCTTAAGAACAGAAACCAAGTGTGCAATTTAATTATACAGCTTTTAAGCATTAAACCATCTCCTGGACAACACTCTTGTTAACATTCCTAATTCAAATTTTCAAAAGCCTCCATCTAGGGACCGTTAATACAAAAATCTCGCCATGGAACTATTACTTATATGGATCTCAGGAAACTTGGCAAAATATACACACACCTGAATGCCATTCAGTTTTATGTAACATTTTAAAATGTTAAATTACATAAAGATGATCTTATTCTGAATTCCTTGAAATCACGTAAGAGTTTCATTTTAAGAAGCTTCAGAAATTCACTTGCTTTAAAAAGTCACCTAAATAATTTTTCCTGACTGCTGTAAGATATTAGGGAATTGTTGCAAAAGAGATAATGATGGAAGCTTGTACTTCGTTTTGCAGCATTCCATTTTCTTATTTATTTACAATTAAAATGATTTTGAAAAGATGGCAATGAGAGGGGATAGGGGGCCTTGTTAATAAGAAAGGAGGCACCCCAGGACTAGACTGCCTACTTCTGGACTAAAGGATCAAACACAGAAATACTGTGCTGAGAAGCTACTATTCCACAGTGTCAGTTTTAAATCAAAATGTTTGTGGTACTTGCATTTTTAAAGTGCTTCAGTATCACATTTTTTCTTACTGGCTATATTTTATTATTTGGACTGGGATGTAGAATTTTAAAGCAATTTCTTTATCTATAAGCGAGCACAGAAATAATCGACTTCAAAAAAGAGCAAAAGCTAAAATAATTTTCCAGTGTTATCATTTGATGAAAACGTGTATCTTTCCAGGCAAATAGGAGCAAAAATACACATATCCTATAAATAAAAAAAATGCAGAAATCAAATTCAGTTTAAATATATATATAGTAAAACATTTTTTATTCTACATATTTCATATTTGTTAACCGCTGGTTTGAGTACAATTTTTTATGGTGAGCAATAATATACAGTTATCATTAAATGACATTGTAATAGCCTTTGGTATTACTTACTGTAGAGAAAATACAACTGCAAAGCTTGAAAGTATGATCATAGGAAGAAGACAATATCCTAGGACACTTGCAACACAACCAAATGAGACACCTGTCATACTCATTAAATTCAGGAGACAGAACATTCCTAAACACCCAATTGCACTAATTCCATATACATAGCCAAACTGAATTTTTCCAGCCTACAAAACAGAGAAAAGGGAAGAATACATTAACATTCTGAATACATTTTAGGAAAAGATTTTGCATTTAGGGAAAGTAAGAGACAAATGAAGTATACAAAATAAAATCAAGTGAGAAACAGATGCTCTTTAAGTAACAATGAACATTTCTGAAATCTAGAATTAGAAATAAGGTTTATTATCTTAGTATTATTCCACATACACATTTACAACTTTTTAAGTTATTTTTTAAAAAACAGATCTTCCACATAAAATTAGTGTTACTGTTCTGCTATTTTATATATTCGAATCAAATATTTACCGCTGAGATTAGATGGAAATACCAGAGATACAAATATCTGTCTAGTGAATCAGTTTAGAAGTGATGTACAGCTACTTGGATCCAGAGTAGAAAAGGCATTTTGGAGGGGGTGTGGGTGTGCTTGCTGTACCTGTCAGCACCTCCTTAATGAAGCTGTACCTTTTCCTGTATTCGCTCACAGTGGCCACCATGATTTCAGGAAAATAATAGGGAGGCGCAGTAAAGTGCAACAAAGTTAGCACACCCTGTTGCTATCTGCTAAGTACTTTCTTAATCAAGGTTTATGACTATTATGGGAGTCCAGGAAAGGTGTGCCTTCTTTAATGAGGTTCAAGATAGATGCAATAAGTCTGCCCCTACCCCTTCCAAAGCATCCTCACCACTTTGAATAGTTGCACATCCCTACAAGCTAGTTTTATAGAGACTTTCAAACCAACAGGTGAAGCACCACCTGAGTATTTTTAAGGAGCACTGTTTATGCAAGTAAACCCAGAGATGCACCATTAATGCCTATATAAAAGTACTACTTCAAATCAATGCCCACCACAAGCAGGACCTTTACTGTGGCAAAACTGGTATAAATTATTTTCCAGATGTTTCCTGTCTTTTCACTACTGTGATGCTGTGTGCTTGATGGGGGGTTGTGTCTATACGCGTGTGCTTTGCAGGTATAGATTACTACTTTTTTAAAAGTTAACTATAAACCTTTGAATATTTTAATAATAAATAAAAACAGTCTAATATTTCAATGGTCTGAATCTAAAGAAAAGGGATGTTCAGAAGGATACAGATGAGGCACGCATCTGGATATGAGGAAGGCGGTGCTGCTTCAAAGGTATTTCACCATTTCAAAATCAAAGGTGATACTGATTCAGAATAAGCTGCCCTGAAGATATGGAACTGCCTTGAAGGTCCATGCCATTTTTCAGAGTCAGTATGGTATTTCCATAAAAAGAAAGGAGCAGAAGGGAAAAGAGGACAAGTGGAAGAAACTGTAGTTTCCTACAGAATTTATATTTCTATTAGCAAAAACGTTACCTATGGTTCATCTTTTATTTCTAGAAGCAGTTCTCTGCTCTGTGACTGTAGGGGAATGGGAGACAGTAATGCCTGCATTTGTGAGAGGCTGTTGCTGCTTATTGGTGTACAAAAAAGGAAAGAAGGACCTCAAACTCCAACTGCTTTTAAAATAAAAGCATAATAATAAGAATGAAGAAGAGCCCAAGACTCCTTGTTGTCAGAAACAGTAGGGGCCTGCAACTTTAAGTACAATGAAACCTTGTTTTAATGGGCTAATTGGAGGAGAAAGTGTTATTCAGGAATGCCTGTTGAATTGGATAGTAGGGCATCACAGTGACTTACAATGTAATGGATTCTGCATGCAATGGACCTAATTTCAACTGCCATTTACATAATTTGTGTAATGAAACCATTAATCAAATCATGTATATGGAGACAAATAGTGCAAATTGCAGCAGAAATGTGGTCCATTGCATGTGAAATCCATTGTATTGCATACATACACACATAAAGCGTACAGCCATATCTCTACTAAATCGTGGAGCTAGGAGAGAAATGAAAGGGCATTTTCTTTTTTTTTAAATAGCAGAAAATCTTCGGACCTGAACATCTGAAATTTTATAGATCATCTCCTTCAGAAGTAACTTCTTCAAATTTAAATATTTATCAAAGTAAAAAGGCATAAGGAAAGCTTCCAGAAACTGGAAAATAAACCATGGAAAGTGTTTGCCTTAGCTGTGTGCAAAGGTCAATCTTAGTCCACGGATCCAAATTGAAAAGACTCTCTATAGAAGGGTAATCAGGACAGTTTCAAGACTATTTTTCTTCCTGAGCCCATCCTTGGTAATCAAGACTGAACCCTAGTAACAAACTTTACAAAGCATTCTAGGTTCACAACACTTTCTCTGCACATATAAACCTACTGTTTATGTTCCTTGGTGTCATGTTCCAAACATATGATTAACATTAGTATTAAGCTGTTTCTCCATGGGACGTAACTAGTGCAAAACACAAAGCAATTCTAATGTTGACTCGGAGTATTCCAATCCTTTTCAGAAGCAAAATGCAGGAAAGAGCAGCAAATTATTATAATGTATGGAGTATATATAGATTAGATTTCACACTGCTCTAAATTACTCAGCTTTTGTGGGTATGGCAAATGGGGATATCCAACAAAAGTTCCTGCCTTTCTCACCTTGTAGATCAGAGACCAGGCTCCAAACAAAGCTATGACCATGGGACTGTAATTCGTATCCTTCTACACAAAAGTAATATATTCAACCCTGAATATTGCAGTTTTCATAAATTATTGATATTTAAGATTTATTCAAGTCTTGATTTCCATTTGCTTTAATCTTTTAACTTTCAGGCTGGTAGGACTACATTTATAGTAATGAAAACTTACCAACAATAAGGTGGCTCCAAAGGCTAGGCAGAAGACCATAGGCCCTGCCAGATCAGTTTCATTCATGATGTTGCCATCTGCAGCTTTTAATGGGTGCAGTACTGTTAGAGTCTTTTGCCAGATATGGTCAAAATTTATTCCTAGTTCTGTAGATCAGATGAAGAACACAGATTTTATGGATTTGCAACCAGTGAAAAAATAATCAAACTTAAGAGTCCTTCTCAATTGTGGATGCCTCACTAAGTGGCTTACAAAATGTAGGAAATTCAAATAACAATAACTTACAACGGAAAATTACCAAACACCCATATCAGGGAAAACTACAAAACCAATTACAGAAACATAAAAGGCATATCAGAGAGAAGGACCATAACCCACTCTGCCCTAGGCACCTGCTGAAACCGTCAGATCTTCAAGGCTTTGCAGAAGCCTCACATTATATAAGTGGATACAGGCAGCTGCACTAAAATGGAAGTCCTCTTAGTTCATCAAAGGTCAGAGAGCAGGTAATATAACTAGCTGCATTAGTCATCTTAATTTTTAAAAGATCTACTTCATTTCAATTTGTTATGCTTTTTTTTGTACTTCATTTAGTTCTCTTAAGAGCCCATGCCACCTAAGTAAATGAAGTGAAATTGAACACAACCAATAAATGCACAGATACACATGTGTATCTCATAATCTGCTATGACTGCTCCTTTGTAGATTGGACCATGTATTTTGGTTGATACAGAATTTTGCAATAAATTAAAATCAAACCTTCTAGTAATGGAGGCTCATCTTCAAAATTGCTTCCATAGAAAGACTGTGATGAAGACGGTGTGTATGCTGGTGCTGGCTGAAAAATTTGACCAGTGTATGGCTGCTGAGGTTGCATCATCTCTGGAGGGACATATCCACTTTGCTGAGAATACTCATAGCCACCATATTGCCTGCAGAAAACAAAATTGAAATATTTATCGGATGAAAGCAGCAGCTTTCTTTGCACAGAGGCAAGTTTGAGGAACCACAATATTAGCTAAGCCCCAAAGTGTCCACAGCATTACAAAGGCATCATTGTAAACTATCGCATTTATAGAAGTTTTAAATATTCTATACAGTCCCTGGAGAAAATTATTGGAATACATTTATATAAATAAAGAACACAGACAGGCGTATCATTGTTTGGAATATATCACAATTATTTACAGGATAATTCTGATTAACATTACATAAATTTATTTTAACTTATTATTTTCTAATATGAAAAAATACAATTTCTCATTTTAAATTAATTATAATTTTCCAACTTATCTGATATTTTTCTCAATATTACCAAGTTTGTTATTAAAACTCAGATATAATATAGTCCTTCATTTTCAGTTCTTCCAAGAGGATCTAACCCATTTCTTTGCTTTCCCATCCTCTGCCATATAAATAGTGGATACTAGCATATATTTCAAGTTTTGTGACCTATACAGTGACCATATATCTATTGTGACACATAGAAGCATTGCAGCCTTAAGGAAGAGGAGTTGCCTTAAGGAAGAGGAGTTACCAGTGTCAGTAATTGTTTCAGAAAACCTCCTTGCAAGTAACTGTTTATGTAAGCTTAAAGGGAAATTTTATACTGAAGAATGATTAACTCATGAAAGTTTGGATTCTAAGACATATTACCAAAATATTTTGAGTCAATAAGCTAGTGATAGCTACATTATCTGGTAAGTATGCCACATATTCAAAAGTACTATGGCACTTCATACCTGCTATATAAAAGGATAATTCAATGTGTATTAACATAACTTCTGACCAGCACTAGCCTAACAAAATGCACTTACAATAGTCAATGGTTATAAGTAACCTTGGTTGAGCATTAGTGATCGCTGCTCTATATAAAAACTGCTGACTCAATTTTTATATAGAGCTATTTTTTGAAATTCCTCTGATCCTACATTATAGATTTATTTTATTTAGGTACATTGGAGTTATTTTGAGAAATGGGATCTTTTAAATAAATAAAATAACCCTTTAAATATAAACGTGACTTGGCATGATTATCAGGTATTAAATAACACTGAACACTTAAGCCAGATACTAACAACAGACTATAATACACTGGCTATTTAGAAAACTAAAAGAAACTCAAGTTACTTGCTGTATGCTCCTCCTCCAGCATTTCCTCCATATGATTGTGCTTGATCATCAATACTGTAACTTGTCTGATAGAAATCTGCATTGAAACTATCAAATCCAGACATTGCTATCTGTAAAATAAATATTTCTCTGTTACTATTTTTAAAAACCACCACCAAAAGCATGGCCCTTCTATGAATGTCTTTGTCTGTCAGTCACCAAGAATGATTTATACAGTCATCTGAAAAAAATGCATTCAGCCAAATATTAAACACTAAATTACTAGACATTTGCACTGCTGTGCCTCCCACAGTTTGCCCAAAAGGAGAAAAGGACCACAACATAAAAGCGGGAAAACAGAACAAATCTAACAACATTTTAAAATACGGTATCTGATTTCCTCAAATCACCGCAGAAAGGCAACGACTACGACAGAACCTATATTATTTTCAATGTTTGCTATCACAGAGGCATCATCTGTTAGTGTTGGTGCCAGACAGCCTTTAAGATTAGACCTTCAGAGCAGCACATAACGCTGCGATGATGAAAACACAGGAGCCGAGAATGGAGAAACGTTGGGTCACGAGAGATCACTAGCAGCATTAGGCCATTTAAGCCACGCACTCCGAAATCACGCCCTTGCGGCCAGAAAAACGCAGAAGCGAAGGAAGACGCTTCTGGAGGGAGTCTCGTCGCCCGATAGGTTTCCCTTTTCTTTTCCCGGCGCCTGAAGGAGCCCCGCAAGAAAGCGTCAGATCTCTTGACAAGCTGGGGCGCCAGCCTGCTCCTCTCTCCCGCAGCTCACCTTCCTTCTGAGCCCCCTCCCTGGCGAGGCAACGACCCCCTGCCTGGCCTCCTCACACCGTCGGGATCGACCCCTCTTCCACCCCCCTTTATCCCGCTGTCTTGGAAGCTACGTGTCAGAGACCCACGAAGAACCACTTCCGGATCGTGGAAGCGGAGCGGCAAAACGCAGGGGACGTTTCCTAGCGGAAGCCACTCTCTCTCCACATCTCCATGGTCAAAGCTTTCAACCCGAGTGAAGACGACAAATAAGGGGCGGCTGGACTATTTGAGCATGCGTAGTGAGGACTTCGGCCTCTCCCCTGAAACCACGTGCTTTCTTGTGGCTCCGCTTGAGAACTGAGCGGAGCAAAGCTGTGGTTTTCTGCACCGCTTACGGTTGCCTGGCCTGAAGCGGTTTAAACATCCGTATATCAATAAATACATTTCTGCACAGGCTGAGGTTATCTGATTATGTTAAGGGAAAAGTGGATCTTCTTCAATTTTATAATCTTTACTATTTTACAAATACTGTTGCTTTCGGAATCAAACTGCGATCCGGATGGCAGCAAAGTATATAGAAAAACTTTTGCTGATATGTAGCGGTCATCCTGATTTTCGCACCTCATATCTGGTAGTTTTAGGCCATGTTATAATTTTTATGCTCCTGTACAATTGTGCCCGTTGCTCTCTTTCTCCATAAAGTCTCCAAAGTGATCTTGTGGAATGCTAAAGTATGTCAGGTGGTGCCTGCCAGGCTCCTGATCGTTGACTTAGGCTTTTTCAGAAGTTACTTTAATTTTTGAAAAAGGGAAGTTGGCATGCTGTAAAGCAAACTGCCAGCCTCTAGCATCATCCTTGTTTTTGAAGCTGCCTCTGGAATCCAAAGAGACTAAGCTTTCTCACAAAATGAACCGACCAGTGCTTTGCTTGAAAACAGGTCCAGAATAGAATGAAGGTTAGCATCGATAGTTAGGAGCATCACACAGAAGAGGGAACTAATGGAGTTAACAACACTGGGTATACCTCTCATGGCTGTTGTATTGTGAATGGGAAATTGTTTTCCAGCAACTGTGTGAGTACCCACAATGTGTTCTCAAAATTCCAAATGTGCCCAGCAGCCGTCAAAAACTGAAAATCTCTGTTCTGGGGCTCATTATTCTAACCGTAAAGCCTCATTGGTCTTCCCTATTCACACACTCTCTTGTTACCTTGGGCTTATCACTCAGATAAGGTGATAATATCACCTCCGATAAGACATTCAAGTGTGAAGCTTGTGTCTTCAGTGCTTTATATTTATACTAGAAATAAATACAGACTAAAGATGAGCTTTACGCATGTAGAAAAAATTACAAGGAAGAAAAAGAAAATCCAAGGAGTTGGATATTTCCTGCTGCTGATCATGGACTTGCTGAGGCTTTTCTGCTTGTACCCATAGCCAGGACATCAGTGTAAGAGACAGGTGGTTTAATCTGGGAACATCTACAACTCATGTTACCGATGAAATATAAATGTTTCAACTTTCTGTTGGCAGTAGGAATTTTCATCTTTTGATGAAGTTGATGGTTTGAGCTGGTGGCAGCCCTGAAGACCATCAGGAACTTTGCATCCAAAGTTGCTGACAGCCTTCATAACTGCCTAATATACAGAGGCTGATAGCCCTGGTTTGGAAAATCTATTGAAGATTTTTGGTACACATGTGATCCCTAGGATTCCACTTGCTAGAAAGGTGTATTTAGTTATTTAAAAAAACTGTAAGTGGCCCAAGAAAATTAGCTCAATACAGCAGATATCAGTTCAGAAGAAGAATTTCACAGTAATTTGAGAATATATTTTTTTCCCCTTAAAATTTGATGGATTTAAATGGCTTTCTACACTTTTCTACCTTTAAAAATGGGAGGATAATTAACTGCAATAAAATTATTTTTCTGTTACTTTGACTGAAGGAAATGAAGCCAGTAAATTGGATCTTCATACTTTTTTCTCTCTCTCTTGTCATAATTGAATATAGATGTGTTCTTTTTACAAGGAGGCATTTTTAGAGAATTGCCGTCTTACAACAATTTTATAGAAACATTTACAGAATGATACAATTGTTGGAAAGGTATTCTTTCCAACTAATTCCAATTAAATATAGAGGTGTTATTAAATTGACTTAGGCTACTATTTAGTTTCAACTTTTAAAGTTGCAACTCTTTATAAATATATATATATATATATATATATATATAT